TTGATATTATGATTTATCACTATTCATTACCATAAAGAATATAATATAATACATTCCTACAGCTATAATATTTTTAAATTCAAATCAATATGAATAAAAATAATCGTAAAGGTGTAGCAGAAAAATTACGGCTAAAACGGATCGCAGAATTTAAAGCTGCAGGAAATGATCCTAAACAGAAAAAGTTGTCATTTGGTCTCAATTCTGCCATAAAAACAGGTAAGTAACTAGTCACAATTTTTTTCCCAAGCGTTTAAAGTTCAAATTTTGACAAAATACGTAAAAATAACGAAAATTTGCAAATTATTTTGATTTAGAAATTCATAAAAAATTTTCTTTTTAAATCTAAGATTTTAAATTTTAATACAGAATTTATCACAAGTTTGCCTACTTTTATCATAAAAAAAAATATCTAAAAGCAAGTCAAAGTAATTTTTTATGAGCGTTTGATCTCATAATTTTACAACATTGGATATTCACTCGATTTCTAAAGTAGTGATTTTTAGATTCTGAGTGAAACGATGAATGTATTGATTTTATAATGATGTGTGTTTTTTTTTTATTTTTATTTTATTTATTTTTTTTTTTTTTTTTGTGTCTGTGTACAACATAAGTAGTAGTAATAATGCTTCGATTTTCGACTTCAGTATCTTGTTCGATTGGAAAGTGAATATCGTTGGTGCATTGGGGAGGTCAAAATTTAAAATTCCCAGTACTTTTCAAAAGCGCCAAGAAAAACAAAAGAAAAATTAAGGAAAAAACGGGAATTTTTACGCAAAATGGATTTTTCAGAAAATTGAATTTGGTTTTTGGTGTAACTTTAAAACAAATGACCGTAGATACATGAAATTTTCACTGGTTGTTTATATTTGCATTTTCTATACACGATAACATTTTCAAAATATTTTGATTTATTTTGAACAGTTTAGGGACATTTTCATTTTTCATTTTTTTTTAGTTTTTTTTCTAGAAATATCAATAAAATTTTATTTGTTGGTTAAAAAAACTTGAAAATTTAATAGAAGGCTCCTAGTATATTGTTTCAAAGGCAGATGAAAAATATTAAAAATCGTAAGTCACAGTTTTTTTTTATAAGCATTTAAAGTTCAAAAATTGACAAAATATGGAAAAATCACGAAAATTAGCAAATTATTTTGAGTTAAGAATTCGTAAAAATTTTTCTTTTTAAATCTAAGATTTGAAAATGTAATACAAGATTACTCATAAGTTTGTCTACCTTTATCAATAAAAAAATCTCTACCGGACAGTCAAATTAAATTTTTATGAGCGTTTGAAATTCAAATTTTTACAACATTGGATTTTCACTCGATTTCTCATGTAGCGATTTTCTTATTTTGTTGTTATTCATAAACAAATAACTATAGATACATGAAAATTTCACTGAATGTTTATATTAGCATTTCCTATACACCATACAATTTTGAAAATATTTTGACTCTTTTTGAGCTGTTTACGGATATTTTCATTTTTCAATTTTTTTAGTTTTTTTTGCTATGAATATCAATAAAGTTTTATCTGTTGGGCCAAAAAGTGTAAAAATTTAATACAAGGCTCCTGATTTATTGTTACAATATCAGTTGAAAAATATTAAAAAAACATAGGCACGATTTTTTTTTCTAAGTATTTAAAGTTTGAATTTTGGCAACATTTATCAAAATCTCGAAAATTGTCAATCATTGTAATTAAAAAAATTATTAAATGTTCAGTTCTTATAACTAAGGGTTGAAAATTCAAAACAAAGATTCTTATAAAAATAGTTCATACTGTAACCAAAAAATTTAAAAATATATAAAAACACATTTATTTTTTACAGACATTTTAAATTCAAATTTTGACAAAATGTCTTATTAAAATCAAGTATAACAATTAAACTAAGTTAATTATGTCATATATTGTATAAAATAATAATATGAGACGAGACAATATGAGTGTATTATTCATATTGTCATTGTATAAAAGTCTGTATAATTTAAACTAAATCTAAATACAGGGTCCGGCAGAAGTCATGACACGAAAGTAGAGGGCGTTTGTTTAGGCTGTGGTGGGAGTAGCGGAGTGGGATTGCGTGCGTTGTGTAGCTTCAACGTTGCCATTTTCAGTATCCAACATGTCATGGTCGGGTAAACAACGTGCGCTCGTTGTGAAGTGTTTTTTTCAAAATGGCGAGTCGCCTATAAAAACGCAGCGCGCTCTGCGCACAACGCTTGGCCTTGGTCGACACGATCCTGTTCCCAGCTGCAGAACAATTAAACGTTGGGTGGATAATTTTAATGAAACTGGATCTACTGAAGACAAAAAGAGAAGTGGCAGACCCCTTACAGCCAGAACACCTGAAAATGTTGAGGCTGTAAGGAACTCCTTTCTTAAGTCACCTCATCGTTCGGCCAAGAAACATGCAAGCGCCCTTGGTTTATCAGACCGATCAGTGAGACGAATTTTGCATCTCGACCTTAAATTCCATCCTTACAAAATGGCTAAAGTCCAGGAATTGCTACCCAGGGACCAAGAAACTCGAGTGGAGAGTTGTCGAAGAATATTGGACACAATTCCGGTGAGTGCATTTTTGCTTACAAGCGACGAAGCTCATTTTCACTTGTGTGGAACTGTGAACAAGCAAAACATGCGATACTGGGCACCTGAAAACCCCCACGAGATTCATCCAAACCCTCTACACAGTTTAAAAGTCACTGTTTGGTGCGCAGTTTCCCGTTTTGGGGTCATTGGCCCTTATTTTTTCGAAGAGAGAGGCCAAACAGTGACAGTCACTTCTGATCGCTATGTGGCCATGTTGAGGGACTTTTTTCAACCCAGACTCGCAGAATTCAAGAAAGAAATTGACGAGGAAGGCTTAGATGAGGTTTGGTTCCAACAGGACGGCGCTACGGCCCACACAGCCACTCGATCAATGGCATTGGTGGGCGAGCTCTTCCCGGCCCGTGCCATCTCCCGCAGAGGGGACATTAATTGGCCCCCAAGGTCTCCCGATCTCGCCCCCTGTGATTTTTTTCTGTGGGGACACTTAAAGGCAGAGGTCTACAAACACCGTCCTAAAAACTTGGAAGAACTTAAAGCCGCAATAATTCAAGAAATCGCAGCAATTCCACGGGAAATGACCGAGCGAGCTATGCGAAGTTTTCGTTTCCGCCTTCAAGCCTGTATCACCAACGAAGGTCGTCATATGCCAGAAGTTATTTATCATACATAAATTGCACATCTTATGGAATGTATTAAATATAAAAAATATTGAATTAGAGTACGTTTTCGTGTTTTTATTGAACTTTACTTTCGTGTCATGACTTCTGCCGGATTTTTTTTATATATATAGTTACCTATAGGCTATAGTGATAAAAAACAAATACATGACAATAATTTAAATTAATTATTAATTTAACAATGAGGTATCTAGAAACAAAGTAATTTAGTTAACATTTTTTTTTCTTATGTAGGTAGTAGTTATTATAGGTACTTACTAATAAATCTAAGGATTACAACTGAACTTGTATAGGTAATAAATGTTTAATTATGTATATAACTGTTTAATTAAAATTATTTGAAATTTTTATTAATATAGTATTCTTCACAAGCTACTCTTGTGTCAAATTCTTACTTACTAAAATACCAACCAAATTAATAAACATTTATGTTTTAACAGATGAAAGTTTATTGTCATTTTCTATAAATAAACAATTAGATTCTCAAAACATTACAGAAACAGAGTCCAATAGAAATCAACATTTAACCAATCAACCACAACTTCAATGTTCTCAATACTCAGCTTTAGATACGGTTTGCACATTTAATTTAATAATTTAAAAATTTAACTATTGTAATAAGTAATAACTTTTAGGAATCCAATCAAGGCATTTTGCCAGTTGAACAAGTTTTACCATCAGAAAATGATGATATGGAAGTTACACCTGTCGGAATATCTTCTCCATTTGAATTTGAATCGGTATAATATAAATATTTAATTTTATTAGTTATAGTAAAGTTATCAACAATTTTAATATTTTTAAATATCTATGAAAATGTTAACTATGGTAATTTAATTTTAGGAATCCAATCCAAATATTTTGCCAGTTGAACAAGTTTTACCATCAGAAAATGATGATATGGAAGTTACACCTGTCGGAATATCTTCTCCATTTGAATTTGAATCGGTATAATATAAATATTTAATTTTATTAGTTATAGTAAAGTTATCAACAATTTTAATATTTTTAAATATCTATGAAAATGTTAACTATGGTAATTTAATTTTAGGAATCCAATCCAAATATTTTGCCAGTTGAACAAGTTTTACCATCAGAAAATGATGATATGGATGTTACATCCATCAGAATATTGTCTACATTAGAATCGGTACATTAGAAAAGTTAAATTAAATTAATTAAATTTATAAAAATGTTTTATAATCTAAACTTTATGGAAAATATTAAAAATGTCCAAAACTTTTGTTAGATTTTACTCTAGATAATTTATCTACACACATGTTGAATGTTTATTTTATGCAATTATGCCTGTTTTTATGTTAATATATTTGTATGTACAATATATTTTTTTAGGGTGATAATTTTTCAAGCAAAGAAAATGAACACCAATTATTAACTGAAAATTCTATATGGAAAAATGACCCTGCAAATTTTAAACACATCAAACAATTAACTCCTGAGTTGAGAAATATGATTTTAGAATGGGGACCTTGTCAACCTAAGGAACATGAATTGCCTAATAATGAGTATCCAAAAGACAGCTCCAAAAGAAGTTTTCATTCATCTTGGTATTCGAGAAAATTATTAGATAGCACATTTGAACAACGCAATTGGCTTACATATTCTCCAAAATTAAACAAAGTGTTCTGTTTGTATTGCATAATTTATGGAAATAATTCAAATGATGCCTGGGTGAAATATGGTTTCAGTCATTGGAAAAATGGTCATATGGCTCTTATTAAACATGAAACAACTTCGGCTCATATAATGGCATCATTAAAAGTTAAGCTAAAAGCATGTTCTTTACCACTCTTACCGTCATTAGTAGAAGAACATAATAAACAAGTATCCTTTAACAGGGAATTGGTAAAACAGCTAATTGAAATAACAATATTTTTGGCACAACACAATCATTCTTTCAGAGGTCACAATGAAAATTGGAAAAATAACAGTAAAGGAAATTTTAAAGATATGGTTGTCTTACTGAGTAAACATTCTCCTATATTGTCAGTGCACATCGACCAACTCAAAAGTAAAGGCAAAAAAGAAAATTCTTTTATATCGTGGGACCGACAAAATTTGTTAATAGAGTCTATTTCAGAATATATTTCATCGACTATTAGATCACAAATATTATCAGCTCGTTATTTTAGTATTAGTACTGATTCCACATTTGACATTTCACATAAGGAACAACTATCATTTGTAGTCAGGTATTTATTCAATTCCAAAATATGTGAAAGGCTAATTGCATTATCCGAATCATCAAATACTACAGGTCAATCACTTATTGAACTTTTTAAATCAGTTATGGAAAAAAATGGATTAGATTGGAGTCGAAATTTAATTGGACAGTCATATGATGGTGCGGCGAATATGAGAGGATCATATAGTGGACTTCAAGCACATATTATCAAAGAAAATCCAAAAGCTCTCTATGTTTGGTGCCATGCACACAGATTCAATTTAATAGTGTTATCTGCCGTTGGCTGCTGTAAAGAAGCAGTTGATTTATTCGGTAACATTTAAAAACTATATTCTTTTATTGTGGGTAGTAAAAAGAGATCAGATATTTACAGAAAGAATCAAATTGAATTGTATCCAAAGAAACAATTAAAGGCAATCAAAAGAGTTGGAACTACTAGATGGATGTCCAACTCATTTGCTCTATCTACGGTTCTTGAAACATTAGAAGCAATTTTAGATATGCTTGAGCAAGTAAAAAATGTTGAAAGCCCAGCTGATTTTAAAACTGGTAGTGAATGTAATGGGTTACAGTCTTATTTTCAGTCATCACGTTTCATACTAACTGCTTTTATATTTAAACATATCTTCGATGTCATGGAGCCTTTAAGTAAAATACTTCAATCTCGTGATTTGGACTTATTGACAGCAGTTGATTATTTAAAAAAGGTGGAACAAAAAATAACAATGATGCGTACTGATGAAAAATTTAATGCTATTTTTGAGGAAGCAAAACAATTTTCCGAAGAACATTTTGGTGATTTTAATATGAATAATTTAATGTCATTTAGAAATCGAAAAAGAAATGTAGTTCGGCGATCAGGTGAACTCTGCGTAGATCAATCCATTCAAGATTCTAAACAACACTATAAAATATCAGTTTTTTTTTAGTAATTGATATTATTCTACAACAACTTAGCGATAGATTTGATAAAAATACCATATCTGTAATGAAAGATATAGGTTTATTATCCATAAAGCGTATAAAAGAAGTTGGCCCTGTGCCCCAAGATGCATTCAGTAAAATATGTGATGTCTATGGAATTGATCAAGAGCGTGTAAGAAATGATTACATACTATTAAAAAGTGTTATCAAAGATTTAGATCTCAATTTACTGACAAAATTACCAGCTAAATTACATGATGACTATGAAGAACATATAAGCGATTCAAATGAAAGCAATGGAGAAGATGAAGAAGAACAGCAAAACTTAAATAATTTTGGAAGCTTAGGAAATATTTTTGAAATAATTAATACCATGAATATTAAATCAGAATTTGAGCATTTGTACACAATAATTAAAATAAGTTTAACATTGCCTACATCTAGTTGTACTGTTGAACGAAGTTTTTCCAAATTAAAAATCATCAAATCCAGACTGCGTTCCACTATGGATCAAAACAGACTTGAGAATTTAATGATTATTTCTTGTGAACAGGATATAAACATAGATGTGTCAAAGGTAAATATGATGTATTTGTCCTTACTCAATTATTAAGTATAACAATATTTATAACATTATTAATAAATTATAATACCTACCTATGACCTAATATTTATATTATTTTGTTTATTTTAGGTAACAGATACATTTGCGAGAAAGACACCAGTATTAACTAAGTTATTAACATTTTAATGTTAATATCTGTGATTGTGTATCACAATGATTCTTGCCTCTTGGCATAAAATTTTTTTGTCATGAAATTTTGTAATTTTATTTTTAATTGAATAATTTCAAAGTATATAAGAATATATTATTATGGGTGTTTGTGTTTTGGTGTGTAATTACCTAATTATAAGATAAAATATTCTTGTTAGGTATGTTTAAAATTTGTTTTGTTAATATTATACAGTATGTAGTGGTGGTGGTGTGTATGTAAACACGGATGAATAGTTTATAATATATGCGTATTGTATAATGTGTATGGTAAAATAAAAGAGGCCATAGGGTTTTTCAGAAACAAACACAAAATCGCCTCTAATCCGTCTTAGTTGGTGATGAGTACAAAAAAAAAGTGTAATATAAATTTTCTCTCAAAACTGAACATTAATATTTTTTGGGTAAAAACCAATACCCCCTCCCCCCTTCAGGTATGCCACTGGGGCCGATAGTTAAATATTGGGGCCGTTTCAATTTTTTTTTGCCCGACTACATTTTTAGGACTTCGGCGCCACTG